ACTGTTAAACAGCCTTTGTAATATAGATAATTACATTTAAGAATATCCTACAGACAAGCCTATAGCTTCGTGGGATCTATGAATTGTAACTCTCTGTATAAAGAAATAAATAAAGAATAATATATTAAAAAAAAAAAAAAATTCGTCTATAGATAGACTCACTGATGGGCCATCAATTCGTCTATAGATAGACTCACTGATGGGCCATCAATTCGTCTATAGATAGACTCACTGATGGGCCATCAATTCGTCTATAGATAGACTCACTGATGGGCCATCAATTCGTCTATAGATAGACTCACTGATGGGCCATCAATTCGTCTATAGATAGACTCACTGATGGGCCATCAATTCGTCTATAGATAGACTCACTGATGGGCCATCAATTCGTCTATAGATAGACTCACTGATGGGCCATCAATTCGTCTATAGATAGACTCACTGATGGGCCATCAATTCGTCTATATATAGACTCACTGATGGGCCATCAATTCGTCTATAGATAGACTCACTGATGGGCCATCAATTCGTCTATAGATAGACTCACTGATGGGCCATCAATTCGTCTATAGATAGACTCACTGATGGGCCATCAATTCGTCTATAGATAGACTCACTGATGGGCCATCAATTCGTCTATAGATAGACTCACTGATGGGCCATCAATTCGTCTATAGATAGACTCACTGATGGTCCATTAGCTCGCCTATAGACAGACACAATGGCGGCCCAGTGTTTATAGAAAGACACATTGTGAGGGTTATAAAAAATGCTGTCCTTTCAAATTTATACATTAATTAGACTCACCCTTTTTCTTCGCCATATAAAAAGCTTCTCACGGAATTCCGCACGATGTCCAACACTACGTATCACGGTATTGATGTCATCCACCGAAAGGTAACGTAAACTACGATATGTAATATCGTAAGCTGAAAGGACAAAGACTATGGAATTATTAAAGGACTTCATCGATATGGTAATGCCATCATTGTATAATCGCCTTGGTTCGGAAGTTCGGAACCTATGAGAATGCAATCAAAGACCTGAGGAGACCTATAGGAGATCTCTCAAATATTAAGATTACTTGTAACAGGTCTTATAGTTATCAAGAAACCCCATTGGAAATCTGATACTTATTTAGGATGATGGTTCTAAGAAAAACATTTTAAAAATTCAGACCTATGGCTCCACACGACACGTTGCAGCTCTTCAACTGCCCAGCTAAGCCGACTCATCTATCGCCGAATTCTCTTTGGACGCAACCCGTTCAAGTTGCAACTTTCCTGAATTTGAAGGTAGAGGAAGCAGAACCAGTCAATGAATGACACACATCATGTATTCTGTTGCTACAACAACAACACAGGATTTCTTTTAAATCATTTTTCAAAGGCCTATACAAGGATGGATGGATTATTTACTTTTCTTTATTTTTCTCAAGGACATAATCAAAGACAGAAGATGATTTTTTAATGACATAAATAAGTCATGGATTTTTAAAGATTATTTTTTCAAGAACAACTACAAGGTGTAGATTTTTTAAAATTATATTTTCAAGGACCACATTGGACCTGGAACAAACCGATTTACAACCCGATACAACTGAATCGATGAAGATAAGTTAGATAAATTGTGAGATGTTGTTTATTAACAATATTTATAAACATTTTTTGTTGAAAACTGTTATTGAATAATTTTTATTTTGTCTTTATAATGAAATTTAAATTTAATTTAAACAAATCCGTCATAGATAGTGGATGGCACTACCATTCCCAATACAACGGTACATAGGCATTTGTACCGTATGCAAATTGGTATGAAAGGGGGAGAAACTTATGGGATGACCTAATATTTTTGTCTGTTTGTCGAGTCTTTATGCATTTTGACAAAATAGTTTATGAAGAAATATCCAGGGGCATGTTAAGAATAAAAACGCTAATACCCGAAAATGTTTGTTTAAAATGTAAATAAAATCAGAGATCCGCACATAAAATATATATTTTTATTTTGCTATAAAGAGATTAAAACGTTTAATATTATTTATCCGTGAACAAAAAACATTGTTTTTTTGTTTTTCCATCCAATTTTCGCGGAAATCAATCAACAAAATCAAAAAAATAATCAAAAATCATTAATTTTGGAAAAAAATTTGATGAAAATTAATAGTATAACAGTTTTATAACAGTATAACAGTTAACAGTGCCGCCATCTATTGATTGTTATTCACAATTGTAATGCATTTTCCAGAAAAATTTCAATTTTCCTATATAGATGGTGTTGAAGTCGACTGAAAAAAATATTTTAAATTATCATTTTTAATAGGGCGCCATCTATACTTTATATTACAAAAGCAAAGATTCAAGTCCGTTTCCATCCACAAACTATAGTGTGGTGTACTTGTGGGGTACTATTTGAAACATAGATGGCGCCAAGCATCGAAGTTAATCTACCACACTTTACCAAACACAGCTGTTTTTGTTTCAACTCAACAGCTGTTGAATACACATATACACACAATTATATCTAGTTTCGTTTTCAAACAAATCAAAATTTCATTTTCACTTACCTTTGAAAAATGGATACAAAAACATCATTTGGAATTTTTTCAACAACTTCCGCAACATTACATCGTCCGCATGGCCATCATAGTCCGGTGGATGCAATGGGAAATATTCATTGCAGGCGTCTATTTCATTGGCATTGGCGGTAGACTCCTCCGGTTGGGTTGCCCCGGCTGCTTCATCAAATTGTGCAGACTCTTCACATTGCGATTGCAGGAGATTTGGATAACTTTCATATTCTTCAATTTCTAAATATTCTTCTTTCATCGTGTGGACTTTGCAGGAGCAGGTATTTATTTTTTCAAAGATTTTTTTAAAATATTTGCTGTTGTTTACGGAGTAAATTTACTACTTGTTCTCAGTTTTACACAACAATGTCAGTTTACTATGGAATTTACCACATTTGGAAACAGCTGATTCTGTGGGGTACTTGCGATTCAACACACCATTGTCGTGGTAATAAAATTTATGGCAAAACAAGGTAAGTCAGAGAAAAAAATATTTGATTTTATTTTTAAAATAATTCCGTTAAATATAAATTTTTTTCGGGCGCTACGACAGAAATAGAATATTTACATTTTACATGTGGATCCTATTAAATGTCGAGGTGTGTATATTCGAAAAATATAAGCGAAGATTGACTCACTGATGGAAATAAACGGCATTTACATTAGAACTTTTTATGAGGATTTATTTGACATGTATACAATGGAATTGACAATTGAAACCCCTGCATTAACGAAATCCGGTCTAATGTAAACGTACTATTAATTTTAAATGTATATAGGCTCACTGTCGGCGCTTCAGCTCTCCTATAGATATACTCACTGTTGACTCTGCAGGTTGTTTACAAATTGGTATACTTACGTTCCATTAGGTATTTTATAGGCTAGGACCCGTTAACGGTCACTCAGCTCGCCTGTAGATAGACTCATTGACTTTCCTTCAGCTCGCTTATAGTTGGACTCACTGGCGGTCCTTCAGTTCGGCTATAGATAGATTTACTAGCGACACTTCAGCTCACCTATGGATGGACTCATTTGCCTTTAGATAGACCTTCAGCTCGCCTATAGATAGGCTCACTGGCGGCCCTTCATCTCGCATATAGATAGGCTCACTGGTGGTCATCCAGCTCATCTATTGATTGACTCACTGGCGGTCCTTCAGCTCTCCTATAGATAGACTCTCTGGCGGTCCTTCAGCTCGCCTACAGATAGACTCTCTGGCGGCCCTTCATCTCGCCTATAGATAGGCTCACTGGCGGTCCTTCATCTCGCCTATAGATAGGCTCACTGGCGGCCCTTCATCTCGCCTATATAGATCGAAGGCTCTTCACCATGAGGTAAAGTGTATATTACAGTTTTCATTCCATTTGCCACACCTTGAAATGTTAGTCGGATATCCCATAACGTTTATATATTGTTGATCAGCATAACATTTTATGTCGATTTTGACTGTTTGTTGAACTCGTGATAGAATTCCTATAGCCCCACATACAACATTATAACCGCATTTATAATATTTTTAAAGAATTAGCCGCATTTTCCAACCGAAGCATCTATAATACACAGTCTATTTAGTTTGTAGTTCCCAGAACCAAAGCCAATTATTTTCAGTCTGTATATTATTCCCAAACTGACCAGCAAGTGGTTGCCACCGCATGAATGCGATGAGCATTCGTTTTGAAATGATATTGAATACATATGCGATCCAATATACATATATGTGCATGTATGTAGAAACAATTAAAATGTCATTGCCAATATTATGCGAAATGTTTGCGGAAATATGTAACAGAGTGCTCAATGGATAAATTCTTAAAACTTGATAGGGGCAAATTTTAGAAAGAGGAAGGAGGCATTTTTGTAATTTCCCAAAAATATTAGCATTATTGAAATTTATTATCTACACTGATATTATTTGCAAACCATGTACATATGTTTGAATTTGTGATTTGAATATTTTTAGTTGGTATACAAAATTGCAAAATTGATTTGATGTTCGAATTGTTGTGGCAGCAGATACAAGCAGACCATTCGATACCATTTTATGCGGTTATTGGCACAGCAAAATTTACTGGTCGTCGAATTCATAAATTTTCAAACTGGTAATGAAAATTGACACAATGACAAGCCAGAACTAAAAGTTCCATTTCGTAGACATATGTATGTATGTGTCGTTAGTGCGAATATGTTTACAAAGTGCATAACACTAAAGGTATGGTATGGTAAAATGGATAAGTTAACAAAACTGCAATTATATTTGATGGACCTTGAAAATATATTTTTTAAAAATCCACGTCTATTGATGGACCTTGAAAAAATATTTTTATAAAATCCACTCCTGTTGGTTGTCCTGTATCCCTCGAAAAAATATAAATAGGAATATTTATTTTTTTTCTTTTTTATGTTTGTTTTATTTAATTTTTACATTCTCCAGGGTCTATTTCCCATTCATTAACATTTCGAACAAATCTCTCGCCTCACGTTTTAAAATTTTACCATTACTATTGTGAGGCAGCAATTCGACAAAATACACACCATTGTGTAATTGTTTTTGTGGCTCCATCAATCGCTCCTTGACATAATCGACAATTTCTTCCGCCTTAATATTAGAACCATTTCTTCTTACCACCAGGGCTCCGGGTACCTCACCCAGACGTTCATCGTACACACCGACAACACAACAATCCACCACATCTGGCAACTCCCGTATAACATTTTCAATTTCACCCGGCCAAAAATGTAATCCTTGATATTTCAGAATATCCTTTTTACGATCCTTGACATAAAGGAAACCATCTTTGTCCATATAACCTAAATCGCCGGTATGGAACCAACCCATGGAATCATAGATACGTCGTGTCTCAATGGGATTGCCATAATATCCGGCCCAATGATGTGGATAATTGACCCAAATTTCTCCAGTCTCATTTGGTCCAAGATTTTCACCATTATCATTAACAATACGTAGACGTATGTTGGGTACCAGTTTTCCCACCGAATTACCACGTTCTAAACCGAAGTAACCCGATACACCACCAGCTTCCGTGAGGCCATATCCGAAGCAGATCATTGCCTTAGGTAGGATATTTTGTACGTAGGCCAAGGTTTGTTTGGAAATATAACCACCACCACAATTTAAAATTTTGATAGATGATACATTTTCCGCTATGAATTGGGTAGATTCTCTTAGGGCCACAACCTGTACGGGGGATATGGTGGTATTGGTTATTTTATATTTTTTCACCAAGCCAATAAAATGCTCCGGGTCGAATGGTTTACTGGTTATAACTCGTGTACAGCACATATAAATGTTCATCAATGTAATCATTAGACCACTCATCCAATCCAAGGCGGAGGGGGTGTAAATAACATCCTCACTGGTTAGGAGACTGAAAGTAGAAAAAAAGATTATGAAAAAATATTTATTTGAAAGACACATAGGGCGATTTTTTTTAAATAGAAGGGCCCACATAGCGTGATTTTTTTTTAAATATTTTTTCAAGATCCACCAAATGGGGTGGAGTTTTAAAAAATATATTTCAAGGTCAATCCATTGTACTGAAATTTATTATTAACAAATTTCAAAGACTAACTTTTATTAACTTACGGGTGCTCAAACATTAATTTATGTGCCGATATTGTAACAGCCTTTGGCAATCCCGTGGTTCCCGACGAACACATGATGCAGACGGTTTGATCAGCGCCCAATGTTAGTTTTTCTGGCCTAAAGAAGAATCAGAAAAATTATTCTTTTTAAATAAGAAAATCGCATATTTTTCACTCACTGATAAAAATATTCCTTTGGATTGGTTTCAAGTAGCTCCAGTATAGATGCCACACCCTCAATATGTTCACTTATGGTAAAAATATCGGGTTTAAAGGATTCGGTAGCATTTTTAACCTTTTCATAATCCTGACCATCACAGAAAATGATTGCGGGTTTAGTAATACCAAAACAGTGACTGAGAGTAGCTATAAATATCCCCGAAGGATGAGTTCGATATCATAAATGAATATTTTCAAAATTTATCTTTCAAACCTTCTTGATAGCTGGCATTTACTCCATGAAATGGTGTACAATTAAAGAAACATCCCAAGGCAACAGATGTCAGATAGGTTGTGTTACGAGCTACAATACCCACCACATCATCATGACGCATGCGTCGACTCTTTAAGAAGAGAGCAATGCGAATACCCCATGTGAGGGCTTCCTGATTGGTTACACTTCTATTGACATCGTCATCTATCTGTAAGGCAAATTTTCAAAAAGGAAAAATACAATTCTTGAAATGAATTCTGGACCGACCTACTATCTCATTAAACTTACCAATAAAATATTCTTCGGATGTGTTCGCAATTGTCCAAACAAAATCCTTCCCACCGAATGATGTTCGATATTGTGGAGTGGTGCTATTTTTGGACCACTCCATATTTTTGTATGCTTATCGTAATCGGCAGCCACAATATCCATTACAAATTGAAAATATTTCTTAATTCGATGTTAGCTTTTGTCCACTTTACTTGAGACTAATTCCCAATACATTATGTTGTTCCGTTACAAGTAACTAATTTCTTTTTCGAAATCATTTCAAATTATATCTTATCAGGGTGGGCAGTCTTCAATTATTGATAACCCCCGTACAAAGTTAGTGTTATATTGAAAATCTGACTATATTTTCATTGTCAGTTGTATGCAGCGCGTTTAACTGTTAAGTGTATCCATGTACAATAAACTAGGTACACACAAAATGTGATTATTAGTATGATAATGTAAATTATTTCAAAGTGTGTATTTTTATACACTACACAACTATGTTGTCAGGGTATTATAGCTTTGTGCAGCCCCAAGAGTTTGTAACGCCGCGAAATAATGGACCTAGACCCACCTTTAAGTATACCGATCGTCATATCTCGACTAGCTGAGTCGATATAGACATGTCCGTCCGTCTGTCCATTATAATTTGTAAACACGATACAGGCCACAGTTATGGACCAATCTTCACGAAATTTTGCATGTAGGACGGGTTCTGGTCAATGAAGACCCCTATTGTTTTTGGTATAGATCGGTTAATATTTAGGGGATGAAATGGACTAAATACTTAATTTTTGTGCAGCCCCAAGAGTTTGTAACGCCGCGAAATAATGGACCTAGACCCACCTTTAAGTATACCGATCGTCATATCTCGACTAGCTGAGTCGATATAGACATGTCCGTCCGTCTGTCCATTATAATTTGTAAACACGATACAGGCCACAGTTATGGACCAATCTTCACGAAATTTTGCATGTAGGACGGGTTCTGGTCAATGAAGACCCCTATTGTTTTTGGTATAGATCGGTTAATATTTAGGGGATGAAATGGACTAAATACTTAATTTTTGTCGGTTTTTCTGGTCGCTCCAGAAATATCCCGAAATATTGCCCATGCTCAAAATAGGACCGCAGAAAGTTTGTTTTTTCGTGGTAGTTGTGTAGGGTATCATATGGTCGGACCCGTCCGACTATACTGCTCCGCTCACTGGTTTTAAATATTTTTTCGAGGACTCACACAAGGCTTGGATTTTTTTAAAGCATTTTTTCGAGGACTCACACAATTCATGGATTTTTATACCCTTCACCACACCGTGAAGGGTATCAAAAGGAAAAGGAAGCGAGATAGACTTTGAGAGTCGATTTATGCATGTCCGTCCGTCTGTTATTGTTAAATTGTAAACAAAGTACAGGTCGCATTTATAATCCGATTTGAATGAAATTTGTTACAGCTCATTTCTTTGGCCCAAAGACGAACCCTATTGAAATTGGGGAAAATCGGTTCAGATTTAGATATATCTCCCATATATTTTTTCGTCCGATTTAAGGTAAATGGTGCACTAAAGTCCCTAAATATCTTTCGATTAGCACGAAATTTGGAAAAGCGTACTGAATTAAGCCTAGAATAAAGTGTGCTAAGTTTCGTGAAAATCGGTTCATATTTAGATATAGCTCCCATATATATTTTCGTCCGATTTGATGTAAATGGTGCACGAAAGTTCCTATATATCGTTCGATTTGCACGAAATTTGGCATAGGGTTCTGAATTGAGTGTAGAATGATGTGTGCTAAGTTTCGTGAAAACCGGTTCAGATTTAGATATAGCTCCAATATATAGTTTCGTCCGATTTAATGTAAATGGTGCACCGAAGACTCTATATATATTTCGATTTGCACGAAATTTGGCACAACCTACTGAATTAACTCTAGAATTATGTATGCTAAGTTTCGTGAAAAACGGTTCAGATTTATATATGGCTCCCACATATATTTTCGTCCGATTTAAGGTAAATTGTGCACCAAAATCCCTATATATCTTTCGATTTGCGCGAAATTTGGCATAGCGTAGTGAATTGAGTCTTGAATAATGTCTGCTAAGCTTCGTAAAAATCAGATTTAGATATAGCTCCCATTTATATTTTCACTCGATTTTCACACAATTCTTTTGAAATCGGTTCAGATTTATATATAGCTCACATTTGTTTTAAATTGAGACTAGAATGAGGTTATAGCTTTTTTTTAATTGGTGCAGATATAGACCCAGCTTCCGTATATACTACCAACGCTCATCTGATTGAGATTAAATGTATGTAAATAAAATCGATTTACATAAATTTGTCCCATTGTATGCAAACGACCCCAAACTGTAATTTATCATAGGTTCCAGAAAAGGCGGAGTTTGCTAGGAGACTTATGTAGAATATACCCGAAATGGTGAAGAGTATCATATAATCGCCCCAATCCGACTTTACTACTTTCCTTACTGGTTTAAAAATATTTTTTCTAGCTTAGAATATAATATATTTTTTTTGTCGAGTTTTCTGTCTGTAGGGTAAAGCTAGTTCGTCATTTTTCACACCTTTCCTTCAATGTTTATTTGTTTTGAACGTGACGTAAATTGTTCTTAATTACGACACATTGCCACTTGCATTTTTTATAATTTTTTGTTGATTTCTTATCAATAAGAAACTAATGCTTGTTATGTTTTCTATCAGAAGTGGTGCTAAGATAAGAATATTCCGATATCATAGGTGACGCGTGCGGGGCATTCATTCATTAATGTGGTCAGTGTTACGGAATATGAATAGTTATAACTATAGAACATGTGTCCCGGTAGCAAAATTGTTTACAGTTGTAAATCAAATCAGAAGATAATGTTCGGTACACAGGCCGTATATAGGCCTGGAAAAAATATTCTTTAAAAAATCAAGGCCTTCTATAGGCCTGAAAAAATATTCATTAAAAAATCCAGGCCTTCTATAGGCCTGAAAAAATATTCAATAAAAAATTGACGGCTTCGAATGGTCCCTAAAAAATATTCTATTAAAAATCTACGTCTTCTATAGGTTTTGAAAAATATTCTTTAAAAAATTCACGTCTTCTGCAGGCTTTGAAAAATATTCTTTAAAAATTCCACGCCTTCATAGGCTTTGAAAAAAAAAATTCTTTAAAAAAATTCCACGACTTCTATAGGCTTCGAAAAATATCTTTAAAAAATCCAGGACTTGGAGTAGTTCTTGTTGGTCCTTAAAAAATATTTTGTTTTAAATCCATTGTTTTGAAAAAATTCATTATTTTTTTTAAATATATTTTTTATTATTCCTAATTCTTAAATTAATCTACATATACATATATAAATTCTTAACGATCTAATGATGATTCATCCATAAATGACATAATAATTTCCCTTGCCTCGCATTTCAAAATTTTTCCATTACAATTGTGTGGCAGTTGTTGAACAAAATATACCCCACTATACAACCGCTTATGAGGTTCCATCAAACGATTTCGAATATGTTGGCAAATTTCATATGACGACAATTGACTATAGCTTTTCTTAACTACCAAGGCCCCGGCAACATCACCATATCCCTCATCAAATATACCCACCACACAACAATCCACCACATCGGGTAATTCTCGAATGACATTCTCTATTTCCCCTGGCAAATATTGACAACCATTAGATTTCAACATGTCCTCTTTACGATCCACAATATAGAGACACTCCTCCTCTTCGTGCATATAACCCAAATCACCGGTATGATACCAACCAAGAGCATCCAAGCCATGTTCGATGCCCAAGGTATTGCCATAATATCCTGACCATGGGTAGGGTTGACGTATCAATATTTCACCTGTTTCATTTGGGCCCAAATTTCTTCCCTCTTCATTGACAATACACAGTTGAATGTTGGGAGCAAGTCTTCCGGCCGATGCTGACGCTTTCTCTCCAATGTTTATTGCAATTGTACCGACTTCTGTGATCTCATATCCCACTCCAATTAAACATTGGGGAAGAATTTCTTGAAGTTTCTCGAATATTTGTTTGGAGATATAACCACCACCCGATTGCAGGGCAATCAAACTGATCATGTTTTCTCTGGAAAATATTGGACAATCTAGAAGATTTGTGAGTTGGACTGGGTTCAGCATTGCCAATTGGATTTTATATTTCATTGTCATTTTTACAAAGTCAGTGGTGTGAAATGGCTTGCGGGATATTATCCGGGTACAACCGGTATAGCAGTTTTGTATAAATGCCGCCAGGCCGCTTAACGAATCAATGCCTCTTGAGGTGTAGATTATATTGTCGATGTTGATGAATCTATAAAGAAGGAGAGGATGCAGTTAATAAAATAACTTCTAAAGGATGAAGACAAATCATTTAAAAAAAACCCTCTAAAAATATGTTTAAAAATATCCACGCCTTGTATGGGCCTTTTAAAAATATTTAAAAAAATCCACGTCCCGTATGGTTTCTTGAAAAATGTTTTTAAAATATCCACGACTTGTCTGGGTTTTTTAAAAATCTACGCTTTTGTTGGGCCTCTGAAAAATATTTTTTAAAAACTGTTGTGTACCCATCGACACACCCTCTTCTAGAAATAATATATAATAATATTTTGCGGAAAATTCTACTATATATTGGCTAAAAATATCCCGATAAGATATCTGCAAAAACTTGAGACAGGCACACCCCAGACAGTCTTATCAGGCCTTTGGCGTAATAATAGTTAATAGTTTATGTTGCACACGTACTGAGCAAAGTGCAAACTCAAACTTAATAAGGAAATAAAAAACATGGATGATACCCTACACTTGAAATTTAACCGAGAGATTCAGAAATCCACGCCTCCCATGATCCATAAAAATATCCTTTATTTCCGTCCATGAAAAATTTCTTCTTTAAAAATCCACGCCTTCTTGCAGGCCTTGAAAAACTATTCTTTAAAAATCCACGCCTTCTTGTAGGCCTTGAAAAACTATTCTTTAAAAATCCACGCCTTCTTGTAGGCCTTGAAAAACTATTCTTTAAAAATCCACGCCTTCTTGTAGGCCTTGAAAAAATATTCTTTAAAAGTCCACGACTTCTTGTAGGTCTTGAAAAAATATTATTTAAAAGTCCACGACTTCTTGTAGGCCTTGAAAAACTACACTTTAAAAGTCCACGCCTTCTTGTAGGCCTTGAAAAACTATTCTTTAAAAGTCTACGCCTTCTTGTAGGCCTTGAAAAACTATTCTTTAAAAATCCACGCCTTCTTGTAGGCATTGAAAAACTATTCTTTAAAAATCCACGACTCCTTGTAGGCCTTGAAAAACTATTCTTTAACAATCCACGCCTTCTTGTAGGCCTTGAAAATCTATTAAAAATCCACGCTTTCTTGTAGGCCTTGAAAAACTATTCTTTAAAAGTCCACGCCTTCCTGTAGGCCTATTAAAAATCCACGCTTTCTTGTAGGCCTTGAAAAACTATTCTTTAAAAGTCCACGCCTTCCTGTAGGCCTTGAAAAACTATTCTTTAATTTTTTTTAATTCTACCCCTAATGGTCCTTTCAATTTTTATTTTTATAATCTATATGTAACTTACGGATGCTCAATCATAATCCTATGTGCGGATATGTTAACAGCCTTGGGTAATCCTGTCGTGCCAGAAGAGCTGAGGATGGCAAAAGTTTGATTGGCTCCCAGAGTTAGAGGTTCGGGTCTGCAAAGAAATCGATGTTTTTAATGGGACATTTTTACAATGTATATAATCCGACCTACTCATAAAACCTTTCCATTTGCGAAGGTTTCAATAGATCCACTATTGATGGCACCCCATCAATGTGATCACATAGCGTATAAATTGTGGGCTCAAAGGATCTCGTTAATCTAAGAATTTTTTCATAATCCTCACCATCACAGAAAATTATTTTTGGCTTCGTTATGCCAAAGCAGTGGCTAATTGCATCTAAAATTATAAAGAAAAATAAAAAAATATATATTTTCAAAGTTTTTGGAAATTTTTAAAATACGCACCTTCTGAAAAATTTGGATTTACCGCATGAAAGGGACTACAATTGAAGAGACATCCCAAAATCGCCGATGACAAATGTGTGGTATTTCGAGCTGCTATGCCAACAACATCCTGATGGCCCATATTTAGACTTTTTAAATGCAGTGCTATACGTATGCCCCAGGACAAAAGTTCTCCACTTGTGGCCGATGTTCCATCGAAGTCATCAATCTGAAATCGAAGGTACGCCCTTTACAAAATTTGTCGGAGAATATTGCTACAATTTTTTTCACCTGTATCACATTTCTGGGATTTAAACGCATTTGACTAAATAAAATTTTACCAATCGAATGGCATTCGATATTATGTATGGGCAGGACTTCTGGACCACTCCATATTTTAGTTTCCTTGTCATAGATGGTGTGCAGACTATCCATTTGTTTTGGTAATTTCTCTTTGACGATTTCTTCAATACTGATCGGAAGATTTCAGCAAAGAATATTTTTGTGAATGCTTTGTTTTGGTTTGGGTGTTGTAGGAATTCGACAATATCTAATCGGTCGGAACTTATCGAAATATTTCGTATAAAATATTTTACGTGCAAAAAATGGTAATTATTTGATTACTTATTTTAAAAGTAGGTGAAATATGATAATGGTATGGGCCTAGCAAGTTCAGATGACCTAGCACGTTTCACGTATTATTTTGAAAAAATGAGAGGGTACGTCATTGATGTTAAAAGCATATTTTCTCAAGGCATGGATAGTTGAAGAATAATTTTTTCAAGGACCAACACAAGGAAAATTTTGGATTTAAAGAATAATTTTTTCAAAGATCAATAAGGCGGACCAATAAGGCTTGGGTTTTAAAGAACAATTTTTTTCAAAGATCAATAAGAATTGGATTTTTAACGAATCATTTTTAAGGGCCAATACAGGGCGTTGATTTTTAAAGAATAATTTTTCAATGACTTCTATAAGTCGTGAATTAAAAAAATCCTTTTTTCAAGGACTTCAACAAGATGTTGATTTTTATATCCTTCACCCCACTGTGTGCATATGTTTGTAACAGGCAAAAATAATCGAGATAGACCCATGGTTCCTTTTGAGAATATACATAGAATCACTTTCTGAGTCGATTTATGCATGTCCGTCCGTCTGTCCATGTTAAATTGTAAACAAAGTACATGTCGCATTTATGATCCGAATTGGATGAAATTTGGCACAGCGCATTTGTTTGGCCCAAGGACGAACCCTATTGAAATTGGGAAAAATCGGTTCAGATTTAGATATAGCTCCCATATATATTTTCGTCCGATTTAAGGTAAATGGTGCACCAAAGTCCCTATATATCTTTCGATTTGTACGAAATTGGGCACAGCGTACGGAATTAAGTCTAGAATGATGTGTGCAAAGTTTCGTGAAAATCGGTTCAGATTTTGATACAGCTCCCATATATATCTTCGTCCGATTTAAGGTAAATTGTGTACCAAAGTCCCTATATATCTTTCGATTTGTACAAAATTTGGCACAGCGTACTAAATTAAGTCTACAATGATGTGTGCAAAGTTTCGTGAAAATCGGTTCAGATTTAGATATAGCTCCCATATATATATTCGTCCGATTTTAGGTAAATTGTGTACCAACGCCCCTATATATCTTTCGATTTGCACGAAATTTGGAAAACAGTGTACTAAATTAAGTCTACAATGATGTGTGCAAAGTTTCGTGAAAATCGGTTCAGATTTAGATATAGCTCCTCGTCCGATTTAAGGTAAATTAAATTGTGTACCAAAGTCCCTATATATCTTTCGATTTGCACGAAATTGGGCACAGCGTACTAAATTAAGACTAGAATAATGATGCAAAGTTTCGTGAAAATCGGTTCAGATTTAGATATAGCTCCCATATATAATTTCGCCCGATTTTAGGTAAATAGTCCACTAAAGTCCCTGGAAATCTTTTGATTTGCACGAAATTTGGCACAGAGTAATGAATAAAATCGAGAATGATGTCTGCCAAGTTTCGTGAAAATCTGTTCAGATTTAGATATAGCTCCCATATTTATTTTCATCCGCTTTATGGTAATTGGTGCACCAAAGACCCTATATATCTTTCGATTTGCACGAATTTTGGTATAGGGTACTGAATTAAGTCTAAAATGATGTTGATAAGCTTTGTGAAAAGATCCATAGCTATGCCGATTGACACAAAGTATTGATGTAATATAAATTTGTGTCTGGCAAGTTTCCCTGAAATCGGTTCAGATATAAATATATAACAAAAACGCGTCGTCTGTTAGGATACATATATAGAATATACCCAAAGTGGTGAAGGGTATCATATAGTCGGCCCAGTCCGAATTTACTACTTTCCTTACTGGTTTAAAATATAATTTTTGAAATTGCAGAGCTATGCGTTTACCCCAGGTGAGAAGTTCACCACTTGTCGTAATGGTACCATCGAAATCGTCAATCTGCAAAAAAAAATGTGAATTAATTTTTTCTAGCAGAATTTTAGGCGTTGATTTAAAAATCCCATTTTTTCAAACACCATCATTGGGGTGTGGATTACAAAATATATATTTTAGGGATTATAAAAATCGATGATTTCTAAAATTATTCTTATTTTTAAAAATACAATGTCATCTCAATTTACTTATAAAAATTTAATAATTATTATTTTTTCGCAAAATTTAGACTTAGACCGTATCTCCACGTTAAAAAAGTATATATACCTTCCTATTATCCTTTTTTATCCCTAGCAGCAACACATTCTTGGGATTTAATCTCATTTGTCTGAAGAGAATTTTTCCAATCGATTTTTCTTTCAGATTGTAGAGTTGAGCTACTGTGGGCCCCTTTCATATTTCATTTTGTTCATTGTAAATGGAAACAAGACTATTCATTTTTTTTTGTTTGAGAGATTATGGAAAACTAAAGCATGCCTTTGAAGAGATTTCGAAAGAAAAATTCCTGGAAAATGTCTGGCAATATCTAATCAAAGTTCTACACGTATCTCCAGTTTTCAATAATAATATATTTTTTAAAACTATTTTAACAATTATCAAGATCACCATAAGGGGCTAGGCCTTATCAACAATTTTGTGACCTCACAGGGCCTTTTAATTGCCATGTCATTCAGCAGTGATTTCATGGTTTTTTAACTTAAACAGGTCTACAGGTGTTTTCAATTTATTAAGGACTGTAAATAGACATAGATTTTTAAATAATATATTTTTTTCAAGGACCAATAAGAGTGGTTTTTTTAAATAATTTTCTAGGACTAAAATAATTTTTTCTTTTTTATTATTAAAAAACTATTTTATTAAAAATTATTATATAGAAATAATAAATGTTGTTAAAAAAATTCAACGATCCAATGCCGTTTTACTAATCAGTGCTTTAAGCACCTCCCTTGCTTCACGTTTCAAAATTTTACCATTATTGTTCTGAGGCAACTTATCGACAAAATAAACACCATTATGCAGCTGTTTGTGTGGTTCCACCAAACGATTCCGAACATGTTCGACAATTTCTTTTGCTGCCAATTTACTCTCACTTTTCTTCAATACCAAGGCACCCGCCACATCACCATAACGCTCATCGAATACGCCCACCACACAACAATCCACAACATCAGGTAGTTCTCGAATGGCATTCTCAATCTCCCCCGGCCAATAATGCAGACCATTATATTTCAAAATATCCTTTTTGCGATCAACAATATAGAGGTAACCATCATCATCGATATAACCCAAATCGCCGCTGTGGTACCATCCCTGAGAATCCTGCATACGTTGTGTCTCCATGGGATTGCCATAATAACCTGACCACGAGTATGGAACATGTACTAGAATTTCACCCGTTTCATTGGGACCCAAATTGCGACCCTCTTCATCCACAATACGCATCTGGACATTGGGTAGGAGTTTACCCACCGAATTTTCACGTTGAACACCAATATTAAGCGATACTCCGACAACTTCGGTAAATCCATAGCCAATGATTATCAACAATTGTGGCATTACCTTAAGGATCTTTTCAATCACCTGTTTGGAGACAAAACCGCCACCACATGTTACCGACCGTAAGGCGGACATATTTTCGGTGGTAAATGTTGGACAATCAAGAAGTTCGACTAAATGGACTGGAGCCAATATTGCCGAGGATATTTTATATTTCACCATCATATCGACAAATTCGTCAGCTTGGAATGGTTTACGATTTATAATTCGGGTAAAACCGTTATAACAGTTTTGCAGAAGACTCAGCAGACCTGTTGCCCAATCCAAACCGCTGGAGGTGTAAAAGACCGTATCGTTGTTTGTAAAGCTGTAAGAGATAGGGAGAGGGAGAGAGAGAGAGGGAGAAGGAATTGAAAATTAATTAGGATTTATAGGGAATATTTTTTCAAGGACTATACAAAATATGGTTCTACTACAAGGACAATGATTTAAAAAAATATTTTTTTCATTGACTTTTATAAATTTTCAAGGTCTACTAGAGGACGTAGATTTCTTAAAAAAATCAGGGTCTACCAGAGTACATGGATCTCTTAAATAAAATTTCAAGGCCTACTAGAGGACGTGGATTTCTTGAAAAAAAATATGTTTCACAAGCCACTGGACATTCGACTTACAGATTTTCAAATGATAATTTATATGCTGACATAGTAACAGCTTTTGGTAATCCTGTTGTTCCCGAAGAGCATAGAATGGCAACGGTTTGATCACCACCCAATGTTGGTTCTGCGGGTCTGCAACAAAATTAAAACAAAATTAATAATTTAAAATGTTTCAAACATGTCTCCTTTAAATGCCTCCTACTGATAAAAATGTTCCAATTTCGATGGCTGCAATAGATCCAGTACCGATGGTACACCATCAATGTGTTCCGATACGGTGTAAATTGTGGGCCCAAATGATTTGGTAACCATTTTAATTTTTTCATAATCACGCCCATCACAGAAAATTATTTGAGGCTTTGTTATGCCAAAGCAGTGGCTAAGGGCATCTGGAAAGTATCAAAGGGTGTTGGTAAGGACTTCAATTATTTTGGATAATATTTGTTTTTTTTTGGATACTTACCTTCTTGAAAATTCGGATTTATCGCATGAAAGGGAGTACAATTGAAGAGACACCCCAATGCAACCGATGTCAAATGGGTGGTGTTGCGTGCCGATATACCCACAACATCATCATGACGTAGTTGTAAATTTTTAAAATGCAAAGCAATTCGTTTGCCCCAGGTTAGAAGTTCACCACTTGTCGTAATGGTACCATCGAAATCGTCGATCTACAAGGAAGTGACAATAATATAATGTTAATCAATTTCTGAAGCCGCAGATTTGTGTGGTCGGTGTGGTGTGGTTTTCCACAAAATTTGATTCTGGCCATAATTTAGCCTTAATGAATTTTTGGGCTCCGTTGTAGCCGATCAAGGATCACGGTCAATTTCTCTCTTTTTATTATACAATTATGTATCGCTTTTCCTCCTTACCAGCAACACATTTTTTGGATTCAATCTCATTTGTCGAAAAATAATTTTTCCAATTGAATTTTTTTCCAGATTGTAGAGTTGAGCTACTGCGGGGCCCTTCCATATTTTATTTTGTTCATCGTATACGGAAACAAGACTATCCATATTTTTTTTATTTTTTTTCCGAGATCTAATATTAACTCTATGAAGGATAAATGCCAACTAATCAATGCCTATGAAGAGATTTTAAAAGAAAACTTTTTGGCCAATATCTAATCAAAATTTCCGAACTTATCTATTTTTTTTGTTTTGTTCTTAAATTATATTTTTTAACAATAGTTACAAACATTAATCAATATCGCCATATGCAAAGTCACTGTTGAATGACTTTACATTCAAATTAATATATATATATATACATATATATGTATATTTTTCAAAAAAAATCTATGACATCTCATTAAAAAATATTCCCTAAAACTCCACGCCTTGTATTGACCCTTTTTTGAAGATTTTTTTTTTAATTTTTCGCAAACTAATCCATGTCTATGAAGATATTTAAAGAAATTCTTCTTGATAAATGTGTGACAATGTCTTTGTGCATATGTTTGTAACAGGCAAAAGGAATCTAGATAGACCCATGGTTCCTTTTGGGAATATGCATAGAATCTATCTGAGTCGATTTACGCATGTTCATCCGTCCGTCTGTCTGTCCATGTATTTTTGGGAACAAAGTACAGGTCGCATTTATGATCCGATTTGGATGAACTTTGGCATATGTCACTTATTTGGCCCAAGGACGAACCCTATTGAAATTGGGAAAAGTCGGTTCAGATTTAGATATAGCTCCCATATATATTTTCGTCCGATTTCATGTAAATGGTGCACCGAAGTCCCTATATATCTTTCGATTTGCACGAAATTTGACACAGCGTAATGAATTAGGCCTAGAATGATGTGTGCTGAGTTTCATGAAAATCGGTTCAGATTTAGATATAGCTCCCATATGTATTTTCGTCCGATTTAGTGTAAATGGTGCACCGAAGTCCCTATATATCTTTCGATTTGCACGAAATTTGGCAGAGCGTTCTGTATAAAGTGGAGAATGATGTGTGCTGAGTTTGGTGAAAATCGGTTCAGATTTAGATATAGCTACCATATATATGTTCGTCCGATTTAATGTAAATGGTCCACCAAATGGTCTTTCGATTTGTACGAAGTTTGGCATAAATTACTGAATTGAGCGTAGAGTTATGTCTGCCAAGTTTCGTGAAAATTGGTCAAGATTTAGATATAGCTCCCATATATATTTTCTTCCGATTTTATGTAAATTATGTACCAAAGTCAATATATATCTTTCGATTTGCACGAAATTTGGCACAGCGTAATGAATGAAGTATAGAATTATGTGTGTTAAGTTTTCTGAAAATCGGTTCAGATTTAGATATAGCTCCCATATATATTTTCGTCCGATTTAATGTAAATGGTGCACCGAAGTCCCTATATATCTTTCGATTTGCACGAAATTTGGCACAGCGTAATTAATTAGGTATGGAATGATGTGTGTTAAGTTTCCTGAAAATCGGTTCAGATTTAGATATAGCTCCCATATATAGTTCCGTCCGATTTTACGTAAATGGTGCACCAAAATCCCTATATATCATTCGATTTGCACGATATTTGGCAGAGCGTTCTGTATAAAGTGCAGAATGATGTGTGCTGAGTTTGGTGAAAATCGGTTCAGATTTAGATATAGCTACCATATATATGTTCGTCCGATTTTATGTAAATGGTGCACCAAAGTCCCTATATATCTTTCGATTTGCACGAAATTTGGCACAGCGCAATGAATTAGGCCTAGAATGATGTGTGCTAAGTTTCATGAAAATCGGTTCAGATTTAGATAAAGCTCCCATATATATTTTCGTCCAATTTAAGTAAATGATGTATGAAAGTCCTTTAATATCTTTCGGTTTGCACGAAATATGGCACAGCGTAATGAATTAGGTCTAGAATCATGTGAGTTAAATTTCCTGAAATCGTTGAAATCGGTTCAGATTTAGACATAGCTTCTTTATCTGACCAAATTAAAGAAATTAGTATAGGTTGCAGAATGACATGTTTATGGATCCAATTTCATTTTGCTGGTCCTTTAAAAATGCGACGTCTGTTAGGATTCATCTGTTGAATATACCCAAAGTGGTGAAGGGTATCATATAGTCGGCCCCGTCCGACTTTACTACTTTCCTTACTGGTTTTTTAAATTTGTTCAAATATCCATCTAGATAGCACAATTAATTTCGCCCGATTCCATCTCAATAGTCCTCCAAAGATTCTATGTCTATTGTAGATATTAACATCTCTTGTATGTACCCAAAGTGGTGAAGGGTATCATATAGTCGGGCCGTCCGACTTTTGAACTTTCCTTACTGGTTTTTTTTTTTAATAATAATTTGAAATATGTTTACAAAAAATAATCAAGATCGCCCTATGGGAGCTTGCCTTATCAATAACCATAATTGTGTGAGCCAACGGGGCCTTTTTTATGCAAACTCATTTCAAAGATTATAGTGATATAAAAACAGATGGTGCACTGAAAACATACTTGTTCACAAAAATTCAAGTCTTCAAATAGGCCTTGAACAATTTTTTTAAAAGTCCTATTAAAAAAATATATTATTTAATTGTGTTGGTCCTTAAAAACATATTCTTTTAAAATGCTCACCTTCGTATTGTCATTGGAAAAATATATATTTTAAGGACTGTCATTGCCTTACAAGAAAGACAAAAATCCAAATTTTAAATTTAAATATGGTTTTATTAAATTAAATTAATCTTATAACTATAGGGTGGTACAACAAAAACTTAACGATCTACCGATACCGATTGTTCCAATAAAGATTTCAGTACTTCTTTAGCTCCTCGCTTCAGAATTTTACCATTATTATTCTGTGGCAATTTGTCAACGAAGAATACACCATTATGTAGTTGCTTTTGAGGTTCCACCAAACGATTGCGAACATGTTCGACAATTTTTTCGGATGTTAAATTACTTCCACTTTTCTTTAATACCAAGGCACCCGCCACATCACCATAACGCTCATCGAATACGCCCACCACACAACAATCCACAACATCAGGTAGTTCTCGAATGGCATTCTCAATCTCCCCAGGCCAATAATGCAGACCATTATATTTCAAAATATCCTTTTTACGATCGACAATATACAGATAACCCGAATCATCCATATAGCCCAAATCTCCCGTGTGATACCATCCCAGAGAATCATACATTCGCTGTGTCTCAATGGGATTGCCATAATATCCCGCCCAGTTGTATGGTAGGTGTACGAGAATTTCTCCCGTTTCATTGGGACCCAAATTGCGGCCATCAGCATCCATAATTCTCAGCTGGACATTGGGTAGGAGTTTCCCTACCGAGTGATTGTATTTTTCACAAATATCAATGGTGACACCACCTGTCTCCGTCAGTCCATACATTATACAGATGGCACACTGGGGTAATATTTTTTGTAATTGTTGAACAAGTTGTTTGGAAACATAACCTCCACCGAAGAGAATAAACTTCAGACTGGCCACGTTTTCAGTGGTAAATGTTGGACAGCCGACAAGTTCGACCAATTGAACGGGAGCCAATATTGTGGAGGTTATTTTATATTTTTTCACCAGCTCAACAAATTCGCCAGCATTAAAGGGAGTTCGGGAAACAATACGAGTGGTGCCGACATAACAATTTTGTAGCAGTGACATGAGGCCGCTGGCCCAGTCAATGCCACTGGTGGTGTAGTAGACATCATCCACCGTTGCGGAGCTGAAATGAGAAGAAAAAAATATTAAAATAATTTTAACAAGTGCAAAAGCGGTAATTTCGACCGGGTCGAACTTTGAATACCCTCCACCATAGATACACCTGACAGTTACTAGAAATGAAAATATAGGGAAAATACCAAAAAGTGGACGTATACCGACATTTCTAAAATTTTTAAAGGATAATTATACCCTCAGCCTTATGGCTAATGAGGGTGTATACACTTTAACACGGCGAAAATGTGCCTCATCGAAATTATTGTTCTAGACCCCATGTTTCTTTGAACCAAATTCGTTTCAGAAAATTTAGATTTCATCCGAACTTTGCCCATCTTATTATTTCTTCCAAACTCAGTTCAAATTCGAAGATGGGGAATATCGGCCCACTCCTTCTGGAACCTCCAATCAGGGACTAGGTCTAAATGCGGCTATAGTTCATTATCGAACCTTACGTTCTAATTTTTTATCTCTCTATCCTCCGCAGTTGAAATGATTACAAAAGAGTCTTAGAACCAAACTCAAAACGCGGAACAAATCTGATAACTATTTGGTAGAGAGATTTGTTACCATATTCGGTTGAAAAACGCGCTCAAGAACCCCAAAATACCGATAATTGGGATACCCTTATATGGGGGCTATCCGAAAAAATGGACCTATATTCATAATTTTTGTGGAGAGATTTGGAACCTATTAAGAACCCAATTTACCAAATTTCAGCGAATTCGGTTGAAAAGCACGCTCAAGAACCCCAAAATACCGAAAATTGGGGGGTACCCTTATATGAGGGATATTAGAAAAAAATTGACCTTTATTTATAATTTTTTGTGGAGAGATTTGGTACCTATTAAGAACTCGAAATACAAAATTACAGCCAATTCGGTGGAAAATACGATAAAAACTCCCCAAAATACTGAAAATTAGGAGGTACCGTTATATGGGGGCTACCAGAAAAAGTGGACCTATATTTATAATTTTTTGTGGAGACATTTAGTACCCAATAAGAACCCAATGTACCAAATTTCAGCGTATTCGGTTGAAAAACGCGCCCAAGAACCCCAAAATACCGAAAATTGGGGGGGGGGGGTACTGTTATATGGGAGCTATGCCTAAACGTGGACCGATATATCCCATCATCGAGCTTGACCTGCCTGCAGACAAAAGACAACCCTATGCAAAATTTCAGCACCATATCTTAATTCCTTCAGAAGATAGCGTGATTACAACAGACGGACGGACATGGTTAGATCGTCTTATAATTTTACCCTGATCAAAAATATATATACTTTATAGGGTCGCAAATGAATATTTCGATGAGTTACAAACGGAATGACAAAATTAATATACCCTCCATACTATGGTGGTGGGTATAAAAACATGTTTTTAAAGATTTTTTTATAAAACATGTTCTTCAAGGTCCTTTAGAGGCATGGATTTAAAAAAAATATTTTATAAGGTCCATCACCAAGAATCATCACAAGGGGTGGATTTGTAAAAAAAATCCTCATTGACTAACTGAAGTCCTGGATTTTTGATGAACTTACGTGAATTCAACTTTAATTTTTGGCGACGATAAGGTAACTGCTTTTGGTAACCCTGTGGTACCCGAAGAGCACAGAATGGCAAAGGTCTGGTCGGCGCCCAAGGTCAAGGGTTCAGGTCTGCAAAAAATAATATTTTCTTAATTTTTCTAAATTACTACATCTCATTGTAAATATTTGACTTACTGATAAAAACGTTCCATTTTTGTGGGTTCCAATAGATCCATAACCGTTGGCACACCCTCAATGTGTTCGCATAGGGTATAAATTGTGGGCTTGAAGGAATTCGTCACTTTGCGAATTTTCTCATAATCCCGACCATCACAGAAAATTATTTGAGGCTTGGTGATGCCAAAGCAGTGGGTTATGGCGGCTAAAAAGTAGAGTTTTTTTTAATTCAAAAATTTTTTTGGGCACAATTTAATCACCTTCTTGAAAATTCGGATTGACAGCATGCAGAGGATTACAATTGAAGAGACATCCCAATACAAGCGGTGTCAAATAGGTGGTGTTACGAGCCGAAATACCCACAATATCGTCTTTGAGCATTCGCAATTTTTTTAAATGCATGGCTATGCGTATGCCCCAGGTGAGGACTTCTCCACTTGTTACTGTTTTTCCATCAAAGGCATCGATCTGCAGTGAAGATATATATTTAAAATCAGATTTTTAAATCACTCTTGGATGATGGGATTGAAATAATTTCATCTCATTGGGAATTATTTTTAATTGAATATTTTTGCTCCATCCTTCCTTCCTTCCTTACCTGTAATATATTCCTAGGATTCATTTTCATATGATTGAAAATAATCGTGCCCATCGAATGATGTTCAATATCGTAAAGTGGTGCAATACTGGGACCCTTCCATATTTTATTATGTTTATCGTAAACAGTATCGAAAGCAGTCATATTTTCAATTTATTTTTATTTCTCTTTGTATTAAAATTTAGGCCTTAATAAAATCTCTTCCGACTCCTTGTGTGAGTATTTTGAAACTGATTCCGAAGCATCGACAACAAATAACAGCAAACTTCCGTAAATCAGACCATGTCGCTGGGTATCTAATCGGACTTTAGACTTATCTATCAGTGAGGCGTTTGAAACGCCATTATGGAGATCCCCAAACCTTTGGTGATATTTCTATCAATAATAATTGTGATTTCTAAAAATAAATTTAGCCGCTGTGAGGCCATATTATAATGACTAAACAATTTCTTTAATTTATCATAATACACATAGGCATTTAAATGTCTTCGAAAGAAATGAACTATGGCAACAACAGGCGATCGTAATAGGGTGTTTGTTTTTGGAAGTTGTCATTTTATTGTTGCTATCTCAAAATCAATTTTGACAAATTGATCGGCCTAAGTAACACCATTTTAATTTACTCACAGTGGGTTCCAAATAATTAAAATGGAAAAGAAATTTTTTTTATAGACCAACACAAGTAGTGTATTTATTAAAAATATGTTTTCAAAGACCAAAGCAAGGCGTGAATTTTTTAAAAATATTTTTTTAAGGACCTACACAAAACGTGGATTTTTTTCGCTAATTTTATTGGACTGGGTCAGAAAATCAAAATAAAAGTAACGATTTTTGTTCAACATAACTATAAACATATTATAGGTTTGTATGTCTACTTCAGCGACCGACGGTGATAAGAATTCAATCACGAAAAGAAACGTGAACAAATAATGTTTTATCGATATAGCTGCTGGAGCACTGCTGGACTCAGCAACGGGAGTGTAGGCAATAGAAATTTAATACAAAGTCATTCTACTGATTTCAGATTGACGAATATAAATTATTCCATTACATTAATCTAAAAATATAATCGATGTTAAGTTAAAAATTATTTTTAGTTTCCATGTGTGGAAATTAATACATTTATTTTTTTATACCCTCCACCATAGTATGAAGGGTATATTAATTTTGTCATTCTGTTTGTAACTCATCGAAATATTCATTTCCGACCCTATAAAGTATATATACTCTTGATCAGGGTAAAATTCTAAGACTATCTAGCCAAGTTCGTCCGTCTGTCGGTCCGTCTGTGAATATTTTGATAATCGAATAGTTATGTGAAAATAGAGAAAGGATATCAAAGGTAAAGGAGAAATATTATAAAAACCTTGAAAAAGTATTCTTTAAACATCCACACCTTATAGAAGCCTTTAAAAAAAAACACACGCCTAGGTTAAGAATTTGAAAACTGTTTTGTTTTTTTTTTTTTTAAATCCACGCCTCATAGCAGCCTTGAAAATTCTTTAAAAAATACACGCCTAGGTTAAGAATTTGAAAAACTTTTTTTTTTAATCCACGCCTCATAGCAGCCTTAAAAATTCTTTAATAATTTTTTTTTAAAAAATCCGCACCTCATAGCAGCCTTGAAAATTCTTTAATAATTTTTTTTTTTAAAAATCCGCACCTCATAGCAGCCTTGAAAATTCTTTAATAATTTTTTTTAAAAAATCCACGCCTTACGAAAGCCTTGAAAAAATATTCTTTAAAAAATCCACGCATTATGGAAGCCTTGAAAAAATATTCTTTAAAAATCCACGCCTTATGGAAGCCTTGAAAAAATATTCTTTAAAAAATCCACGCCTTATGGAAGCCTTGAAAAAATATTCTTTAAAAAATCCACGCCTTATGGAAGCCTTGAAAAAATATTCTTTAAAAAATCCACGCCTTATGGAAGCCTTGAAAAAATATTCTTTAAAAAATCCACGCCTTATGGAAGCCTTGAAAAAATATTCTTTAAAAAATCCACGCCTTATGGAAGCCTTGAAAAAATATTCTTTAAAAAGTCCACGCCTTATGGAAGCCTTGAAAAAATATTCTTTAAAAAGTCCACGCCTTATGGAAGCCTTGAAAAAATATTCTTTAAAAAGTCCACGCCTTATGGAAGCCTTGAAAAAATATTCTTTAAAAAATCCACGCCTTATGGAAGCCTTGAAAAAATATTCTTTAAAAAATCCACGCCTTATGGAAGCCTTGAAAAAATATTCTTTAAAAAATCCACGCCTTATGGAAGCCTTGAAAAAATATTCTTTAAAAAATCCACGCCTTATGGAAGCCTTGAAAAAAATATATTTATTTTTTTATACCCTCCACCATAGAATGGAGGGTATATTAATTTTATCATTCCGTTTGTAATTCACGAAATATTCATTTCAGACCCTATAAAGTATATATTATCTTGATCAGGGTAAAATTCTAAGACGATCTAGCCATGTCCGTCCGTCCGTCTGTGAATATTTTGATAATAGAATAGTTATGTGAGAATAGAGAAAGGATATCAAAGGTGAAGGAGAAATATTCAAAAAAGAGCTTTAAAAAATCCAAGCCTTATAAAAATCTTGAAAAATTATTCTTTAAACATCCACACCTTATAGAAGCCTTGAAAAAAATATTCTTTAAAAAAACACACGCCTAGGTTAAGAATTTGAAAACTGTGTTTTTTTTTTTTGAAAATCCACGCCTCATAGCAGCCCTGAAAATTCTTTAAAAAATACACGCCTAGGTTAAGAATTTGAAAAACTTTTTTTTTTAATCCACGCCTCATAGCAGCCTTAAAAATTCTTTAATAATTTTTTTTTTAAAAAATCCGCACCTCATAGCAGCCTTGAAAATTCTTTAAAATTTTTTTTTAAAAAATCCACGCCTTATGGAAGCCTTAAAAAAATATTCTTTAAAAAATCCACGCCTTATGGAAGCCTTGAAAAAATATTCTTTAAAAAATCCACGCCTTATGGAAGCCTTGAAAAAATATTCTTTAAAAAATCCACGCCTTATGGAAGCCTTGAAAAAATATTCTTTAAAAAATCCACGCCTTATGGAAGCCTTGAAAAAATATTCTTTAAAAAATCCACGCCTTATGGAAGCCTTGAAAAAATATTCTTTAAAAAATCCACGCCTTATGGAAGCCTTGAAAAAATATTCTTTAAAAAATCCACGCCTTATGGAAGCCTTGAAAAAATATTCTTTAAAAAATCCACGCCTTATGGAAGCCTTGAAAAAATATTCTTTAAAAAATCCACGCCTTATGGAAGCCTTGAAAAAATATTCTTTAAAAAATCCACGCCTTATGGAAGCCTTGAAAAAATATTCTTTAAAAAATCCACGCCTTATGGAAGCCTTGAAAAAATATTCTTTAAAAAATCCACGCCTTATGGAAGCCTTGAAAAAATATTCTTTAAAAAATCCACGCCTTATGGAAGCCTTGAAAAAATATTCTTTAAAAAATCCACGCCTTATGGAAGCCTTGAAAAAATATTCTTTAAAAAATCCACGCCTTATGGAAGCCTTGAAAAAATATTCTTTAAAAATCCACGCCTTATGGAAGCCTTGAAAAAATATTCTTTAAAAAATCCACGCCTTATGGAAGCCTTGAAAAAATATTCTTTAAAAAATCCACGCCTTATGGAAGCCTTGAAAAAATATTCTTTAAAAAATCCACGCCTTATGGAAGCCTTGAAAAAATATTCTTTAAAAAATCCACGCATTATGGAAGCCTTGAAAAAATATTCTTTAAAAAATCCACGCCTTATGGAAGCCTTGAAAAAATATTCGTTAAAAAATCCACGCCTTATGGAAGCCTTGAAAAAATATTCGTTAAAAAATCCACGCCTTATGGAAGCCTTGAAAAAATGTTCGTTAAAAAATCCACGCCTTATGGAAGCCTTGAAAAAATATTCTTTAAAAAATCCACGCCTTAAGGAAGCCTTGAAAAAATATTCTTTAAAAAATCCACGCCCTAAGGAAGCCTTGAAAAAATATTCTTTAAAAAATCCACGCCTTAAGGAAGCCTTGAAAAAATATTCTTTAAAAACACCATATCGGTCCACGTTTAGGCATAGCTCCCATATAAGGGTACCCCCAAATTTTCGGTATTTTGGGGTTCTTGAGCGCGTTTTTCAACCGAATGCACTAAAATTTGGTTCATTGGGTTCTTATTGAGTACTAAATGTCGCCACAAAAAATTATAAATGTAGGCCCATATTTTCTGGTATCCCCCATGTAACGGCACCTCCTAATTTTCAGTATTTTGGGGATTTTGGTCGTATTTTTCCACCGATTTGGCTGTAATTTAGTACTTTGAGTTCTAAATAGGTTCCAAATCACTCCACAAAAAATATGAATATAGGTCCATTTTTTCTGGTAGCCCCCATATAAGAGTACCCCCAATTTTCGGTATTTTGGGGTTCTTGAGCGCGTTTTTCAAACGAATTCGCTGAAATTTGGTATATTGGGTTCTTATTGGGTACCAAATATCTCCACTAAAAATTATAAATATAAAACCATTTTTTTCTGGTAGCCCCCATATAAAGGTACCCCCAAATTTCGGCATTTGGAGGTTCTTGAGCGCGTTTTTCAACCGAAACCACTGAAATTTGGTATTTTGTAGCCGTATATGGAAACAAATCTCCCTAATCGGAAATTCTTATCACGTGTAAAATGTGTTTACTTGTACGGTCAATACCCTGTCTATATTAAATATCTCATTCCACTAGGAAGTGTTTTTTAATCGTTCGTTACTCCGTTCGTATAAATCCTCAAAAAATTATTTTTTTAAAAAATCCACGCCTTGTATAAATCCTCAAAAAATTATTTTTTTAAAAAATCCACGCCTTGTATAAATCCTCAAAAAATTATTTTTTTAAAAAATCCACGCCTTGTATAAATCCTCAAAAAATTATTTTTTTAAAAAATCCACGCCTTGTATAAATCCTCAAAAAATTATTTTTTTAAAAAATCCACGCCTTGTATAAATCCTCAAAAAATTATTTTTTTAAAAAATCCACGCCTTGTATAAATCCTCAAAAAATTATTTTTTTAAAAAATCCACGCCTTGTATAAATCCTCAAAAAATTATTTTTTTAAAAAATCCACGCCTTGTATAAATCCTCAAAAAATTATTTTTTTAAAAAATCCACGCCTTGTATAAATCCTCAAAAAATTATTTTTTTAAAAAATCCACGCCTTGTATAAATCCTCAAAAAATTATTTTTTTAAAAAATCCACGCCTTGTATAAATCCTCAAAAAATTATTTTTTTAAAAAATCCACGCCTTGTATAAATCCTCAAAAAAATATTTTTTTAAAAAATCCACGCCTTGTATAAATCCTCAAAAAATTATTTTTTTAAAAAATCCACGCCTTGTATAGATCCTCAAAAAAAATGTTTTTTTATAAATCCTCAAAAAATTATATATTTTTTTTAAAAATCCACGCCTTGTATAAATCCTCAAAAAATTATTTTTTTAAAAAATCCACGCCTTGTATAAATCCTCAAAAAATTATTTTTTTAAAAAATCCACGCCTTGTATAAATCCTCAAAAAATTATTTTTTTAAAAAATCCACGCCTTGTATAAATCCTCAAAAAATTATTTTTTTAAAAAATCCACGCCTTGTATAAATCCTCAAAAAATTATTTTTTTAAAAAATCCACGCCTTGTATAAATCCTCAAAAAATTATTTTTTTAAAAAATCCACGCCTTGTATAAATCCTCAAAAAATTATTTTTTTAAAAAATCCACGCCTTGTATAAATCCTCAAAAAATTATTTTTTTAAAAAATCCACGCCTTGTATAAATCCTCAAAAAATTATTTTTTTAAAAAATCCACGCCTTGTATAAATCCTCAAAAAATTATTTTTTTAAAAAATCCACGCCTTGTATAAATCCTCAAAAAATTATTTTTTTAAAAAATCCACGCCTTGTATAAATCCTCAAAAAATTATTTTTTTAAAAAATCCACGCCTTGTATAAATCCTCAAAAAATTATTTTTTTTAAAAAATCCACGCCTTGTATAAATCCTCAAAAAATTATTTTTTTAAAAAATCCACGCCTTGTATAAATCCTCAAAAAATTATTTTTTTAAAAAATCCACGCCTTGTATAAATCCTCAAAAAATTATTTTTTTAAAAAATCCACGCCTTGTATAGATCCTCAAAAAAAATGTTTTTTTATAAATCCTCAAAAAATTATATATTTTTTTTAAAAATCCACGCCTTGTATAAATCCTCAAAAAATTATATATTTTTTTTAAAAATCCACGCCTTGTATAAATCCTCAAAAAATTATTTTTTTAAAAAATCCACGCATTGTATAAATCCTCAAAAAATTATTTTTTTAAAAAATCCACGCCTTGTATAAATCCTCAAAAAATAATTTTTTTTTTAAAAATCCTCAAAAAAATTTTTTTTTTTTTTAAATCCTCAAAAATTAATTTTTTTAAAAAATCCACGCCTTGTATAAATCCTCATAAAATTATTTTTTTTTTAAATCCACGCCTTGTATAAATCCTCAAAAAATTATTTTTTTTTAAATCCACGCCTTGTATAAATCCTCAAAAAAGTATTTTTTTTTTAAATCCACGCCTTGTATAAATCCTCAAAAAATTATTTTTTTTTTAAATCCACGCCTTGTATAAATCCTCAAAAAAGTATTTTTTTTTTTTTAAATCCACGCCTTGTATAAATCATCAAAAAATTATTTTTTACAAAATTCACGTCCTGTATAAAACCTCAAAAAATATTTTTTAAAAAATCCACGCCTTGTGGTTCCTTTGAAAAATATGTTTTAAAAAATCCACGCCTTGTATAGGTTCTTTTGTGGCCCCAAGAGATTGTAACTGTGTGGAATATTATTCCTGAACTATTTTTTAATACAACGATCGTCATATGTCGACTAGCAGATAATCTACAGGTGTGTGTTCATTTTTACCAAAGTATAGGGCGACAAAATAACATTTTTTCGTTTTTATTTTCTGATATCTAATTAATTTTTATAACAAATAATTTAAAAAAAATCTACAACTTAACGATCAACTGAAGATGATGATGACGATGACACAGATGATGATGATGCCGATGATGACAATGCTGGGGATTTTTCCAAAAAAGATTTCAGAATTTCCCTCGCTTCACGTTTCAAAATCTTGCCATTAATATTCTGTGGTAATTTCTCAACGAAAAATGCACCATTGTGCAGCTGCTTTTGTGGTTCCCGCAAACGATTACGAACATGTTCGACAACTTTTTCGGATGTCAATGGGCTGCCATTCTTTTTTATTACCAAAGCTCCTGCAACATCACCATGGCGTTCATTGTAGATGCCAACGACACAACAGTCAACCACATCGGGTAACTCGCGGATGGTATTGCACAGCACACATTGTTGTAGAACACGTTGCATCTTCTCGATCAATTGTTTAGACACATAACCACCACCACTGGCCACCAGTCGCAGGCTGTTCATATTTTCGGTGGTAAAATCAGGGCAATCGAGTAGCTCCACAAATTGTATGGGACTCATTATGGCGCTGGTGATTTTGTATTTTTTCACCATTTCTATAAATTCGGGACCAGTGAAGGGTTTACGATTGAGAACCCTAGTACAGCCATTGTAGCAGTTATGCATAAAGGCCACCAATCCACTGGTCCAGTCAATGCCACTGGACGTATAGAAAACTTTATCGATCGTTGAAAAGCTGTAGAAGGGGGAGATGGAAAAGAATTTTGAGGGTTAGTAGTGGATACTTTGAGAAAGGCCTCCGAATTGTTTTCAATAGAAAAAAATTTTCTAAAGAAAAAAATTGCCTCATTGGTAACTGTGGCCTCCGAATGCTTTTCTATAGAAAAAAATGTCCTCAGTGGTAACGGAGGCTTCCGAATTTTTTATCTATGTTCTGACTAACTGCTGAAGTACTTAATTGATACTTACACATTATCCAATATGATTTCTGATGCCGGTACGGTAACAGCTTTTGATAGACCCGTGGTGCCCGAGGAACTTAGAATAACAATGGTTTGATTACCACCCAAGATTGGGGTTTCAGGTCTGTAGAGGAAATTACAAACATATAATTAATTCAAGATTCCTCTTCAAAAACTTACTTTTACTTACCGATAATTCTCCTCCATTTTGGTGGGTTCCAAGAGATCCAATATTGTGGGTACACCCTCAATGTGATCACACATGGTATAAATTGTGGGCTTGAAGGAAGCGGTTATTCTGCGAATTTTCTCATAATCCCCGCCATCACAGAAAATAATTTGGGGTTTTGTAATGCCAAAGCTGTGGCTAATATTAGTTAAGTGGCGAGAAAATTTTAAAGGTATTGAAACCGTTTTTTGTATAAATATCCGTATCAAAAATTTTCAAACCCGGTTCCTTTTTCCCCCAAAATTTATTTTTTTGACGAATTTGTTTACTAGCTTTCTAAAGATATGCAAATAAGGTATTGAAACCGGTTTTATTATCTGAATATCCGTTTCAAAAATTTTGAAAACCGGTTATTTTTTTCTCAAAATTTATTTTTTGGCGAATTTGTTTACTAGCTTTCTAATGTTATGCATATAAGGTATTGAAACCGGTTTTATTATTTGAATATCCGGTTCGAAAACTTAGAAACCCGGTTATTTTTACCTCGAAATCAATTTTTTTGGTTATTTTTTCCACGAAATCTATTTTTTTACGAATTTGTGAAACCGGTTTTATTATCCCAATATCCGATTCAAAAAATTAAAAAACGTTTCTTTTTTCCACGAAATCAATTTTTTTGACGAATTTGTTCACTAGCCTTCTAAGGATATGTATATAAGGTATTGATGAAACCCGGTTCATTTTACCTCGGCGAATTTGTTTACTAGCTTTCTAATGATATGCACATAAGGTATGAAAACCGGTTTTTGGTATAAATATCCGGATCAAAAATTTGGAAACCCGGGTTTTCCACAAAATTTATTTTATTGACGAATTCAATATAATTTTAAATTTTCGATGTATTGAAATTCCTACCCAAGTTCGCTAAGGTGAGTGTCTGCAATTTGGAACATTATTTTCCGGACCATAAAGAACCTACTACCCCATAAGGCAATAATAAAGTCCCCATATAAAGACCGTTCAAAGGAAGTTTCAATGCACACCACTTGGTGGAGGGTATACATAAATCGGCCCTCTCGATCTTAACCACGTTAATTTATGTTAACAAACCTTCTTCATAATTCGGATTTATGGCATGCATGGGAGTGCCATTGAAGAGGCAACCCAAGACCACAGATGTGAGCTTCAGGGTATTACGAGCTGTCACACCCACAATGTCCTCATGACCGAGTTGTTGGTTTTTCAAATGCAAGGCAATGCGTATGGCCCAGGACACGAGTTCGCCGCTGGTTGCTGAGGTGTTGTCAAAGGCATCAATTTGTAAGGAAATAAAAGAACCGGACAATTATTTTATAATCTTATCACAGTCCAGGGAGTAGGATCTGGAAAATTTCCAAGTCCAGGAAAATATTTTTCAAAATTGGAATTTTTTATTAGAAAAAAAAAAACTATTTTTATTCGAAATTAATTTTTATTTACCTGTAGCACATTCTGTGGATTCAATCGCATTTGTCCAAAGAGAATTTCGCCAATCGACTGTTTGTCGTAGTTGTACAGAGGTTTCACCGTGGGTCCACTCCATATTTTCTGTTCTTTATTATAAAAAGTTTCAAGTTTGCTGTCGAACTAACTGTATGTTTGTATGTATCTTGTGTGTGTGTGTGTGATCAGGGTAATGGAGTTTTTAAAACTGGTTATTGACAACATCATATTATTGATGATGATACCTTATCGATTTCGACTTATCGATCTTTTGAAACAAATTTAAAAAAATGTATTTTACAAGTCACATTTGAGATGACTCCCCATTGCAGGGTACTCTATAAATTTGATTAGTGGCAAGTCATGCTGTGACTCGGAGCGCACAGAAAATGCGTCATGCTAATTTTGTGGTTTAATAAAGGCGTGGATTTTTAAAAAACAAATTTTCAAGGTTTATATAAGGCGTAGATTTTTTAAAAATATTTTTTCAAGGCCTATATAAGACGCAGATTTTTTAAAAATAATTTTTCAAGGCCTATATAAGGCGTAGATTTTTTAAAAATATTTTTTCAAGGCCTATATAAGGCGTAGATTTTTTAAAAATATTTTTTTATATAAGGCGTAGATTTTTTAAAAATATTTTTTTTAGATTTTTTACAAATATTTTTTCAAGGCCTATATAAGGCGTAGATTTTTTTTAAAAATAATTTTATTTTTTCAAGGCCTATATAAGGCGTAGATTTTTTAAAAATATTTTTTCAAGGCCTATATAAGGCGTAGATTTTTTAAAAATATTTTTTCAAGGCCTATATAAGGCGTAGATTTTTTAAAAATATTTTTTCAAGGCCTATAAAAGGCGTAGGTTTTTTAAAAATATTTTTTTAAGGCCTATATAAGGCGTAGATTTTTTAAAAATATTTTTTCAAGGCCTATATGAGGCGTAGATTTTTTAAAAATATTTTTTTCAAGGCCTATATGAGGCGTAGATTTTTTAAAAATATTTTTTTCAAGGCCTATATGAGGCATAGATTTTTAAAAAATAAATTTTCAAGGTCTATATAAGGCGTTGATTTTTTAAATATTTTTTTCAAAGCCTATATGAGGTAGATTTTTTAAAATGTATAACGATAGATGGCAGCCATATAATCTAGGACATGCTACAGCTGATTAATGATTTAGCGCAGAAGGAATATTTATTTTAAAGAGGTTTTCCAAGTACACACATCCCTTCAGATTCGCATATACATTCGGAGCCTCCTGACATTCGAATAATCAACCTAGGCAGCAATACTATAACACTTGAGGATAACACCAGATAGGAATGGCAGGTGATAGCGCCACCTACAGCAAAATGACAACACTAAAATAAACAAGGAGCGACAACTGCTGCACAAAATTCAAGAAGGCGTTGTTTCTAGTCAACGATATTTTTCAGTCGCATCACTCGGTTTCAAATCCGAAGGAAATATATTTCAAATATATTTCAAAGTAGTTGTCGAATATTTGTGCAACAAAGATTACAGCATATGAAATTCATCTGACCCCCTCTCATTGTATTAAATAACCTCAGAATCAACAGGATAATACAAAATAGGAATGACAAGAGAACCAGTGCCACCCCAAAAATTAAGCAATGAACCAATGATTGCACAAAATTCAAGAAGCTGTTATTTATAGGTAATGATAGATGGCTGAACAATTACCTGGAACAGGTTATAGCAGACTAATCATCTACTTAGCTGGAATATTAATAAATGATTAACGAAACTAACACTGTGACACAATACCCTCCCTATGAAATACATCTTCCTGATATTCTAATAACTAATCACGGCACCTACACATACCGACAATAAAAATTAGTGATAGCAGGAGATAACGCCGCCTAAAGAAAAATTATAATATTAAACTAATCAAGGACCCCAACCACTGCATGAAATTCAAGCAGACGTTGTTTCTAGGCAACGGTAGAAACGCCAACTAACAGAAAATTATAATACTAAAATAATCAAGGACCCCAACCACTGCATAAAATTCAACCAGACGTTATTTCTAGGCAACGGTAGATGACAGACTTATCACATAGGCCAATTATTTATTTAGCTGGAATTAAAAGCAATGAATTACGAAACTAAAACGGTAGCCAGACAACAAATCAATGGGTTTTGTGTTCGAATTATATCGGAGAAGGTCACAATTTGCCAAGGGCTTTTTGAATATTTTTAATAAGAGATTTTTATTTACCTTCCAGTTAAAATCCATCTGAAAATTCATGACATTTAATAATCAACCTAGGCCGCAACATAAAAACACATGAGGATAACACAAAATAGGAATGACATGAGATAACACCATCCACAGGAAAATGGCAAAACTAATCTAAGCAAGGATATCAACCACTGCAAAATTAAAGGATATGTTGTTTCTAGACAACGACAGGTGGCAATACATAGTTGGAAAAAAATGTAAATCTAAAACTAATCGAGGCAGATGTTAATGCTTTGTGGAAGGCGCTGCAGGAAAAACATTTTCCTAGTTGGATTTCGAATATTTAAAAAAAGTTCATACCTCCCAAGACCTTTGTCATTTAAATTACCGACTTCGGCAACAACATAAAAACCTAAAGATAACACAAAATAGGAATGGAAGGAGATAAAGGATATGTTGTTTCTAGACAACGACAGATGGCAATACATAGTTAGAAAAAAATCTAAATCTAAAACTAATCGAGGCAGATGTTGATGCTTTGTGGAAGGCGCTGCAGGAAAAACACCCAGTGGATAATTGCAACACTAAAATAAGCAAGGACATATACCACTACACAAAATTAAAATTAAAGGATATGTTGTTTCTAGCCAACGATAGATGGCAGCCCCAATAACCTAGCCTGTCCTGGGCGATGGCAATTCATTTAAAAATACATATATTACGGTATTCTATATATTCTATATTTTTTTTATAATTTAAGAACTTATAAATAAATAACTTAAAATTAAATAACTTGCATTAATTGATGATAATGAAAACAATTGCTCCTAAAATGTCTCTCGTTTCAGATATATAATTTTGTTCCAATATTTTTTTGCAATGGGTTCATAGTAAATTACAATGTGGTATAATAAATAATTAAAAAAATATATTGATATTACCAAATAAATTCAGTACAAAAACTTAAAACTCTAAGACCTTACTAATTTTAAAAACTTTTTCATAAAACACTAACACTTAACGATCTAATGACAAGGATGATGATGATGACAAAAGCGCCGCCGATGATGATGAGGATTGTTCCAAAAACGATTTAAGTATTTCCCTCGCTTCACGCTTCAATATCTTGCCATTAATATTCTGTGGTAATTTCTCTACGAAAAATGCACCATGGTGTAACTGCTTTTGGGGTTCCCGCAAACGATTACGAACATGTTCGACAACTTGTTCGGTGGTCAGTGGACTGCCACTCTTCTTCATTACCAAAGCTCCTGCAACATCACCATATCGCTCATTGTAAATCCCCACCACACAACAATCAGCCACATCGGGCAACTCTCGGATGGTGTTTTCAATCTCTCCGGGCCAATATTGCATACGATTATATTTCAAAATATCCTTGATACGATCCACAATATAAAGGTAGCCCTCCTCGTCGACATAACCCAAATCACCGGTGTGATACCATCCCAGAGAATCCATCATTTTCTGCGTTTCAATTGGATTGCCATAGTAACCCGCCCACGAGCAGTTGGGTAGTCTCACCAAAATTTCACCAGTTTGATTTGGACCCAAACTGCGGCCTTCTTCATCGATAATACGCAGTTGAACGTTGGGTATTAATTTTCCCACAGAGTTATTTTCTTGGACACCCACATTAATGGTGACAGCACCAGTTTCGGTGAGGCCATAGGCTATACACAGCATACATTGGGGTAGAACACGTTGTACCCTTTCGACCAATTGTTTGGAGACATAACCACCACCACTGGTCACCAATTGAAGACTGGCCATATTTTCGGAGGTAAAATCAGGGCAATCGAGTAGCTCTACAAATTGTATGGGACCTAAGATGGCGGTGGTGATTTTATATTTCTTTACCATTTCTATGAAATCGGGAGCATTGAAAGGTTTACGATTGATAATACGCGTGCAGCCGGTGTAACAGTTTTGCAGGAGGGACATGAAGCCACTGGCCCAATCAATGCCACTCGAAGTATAGAAAACTTCATCGATATTTGAAAAACTGTAAAAGGAAGGAGAACATTTAAGGGTTAGAATTTGATATTGAGGAGCTTGAGATTATAAGATAAATTTACATCAGTGTTAACTGAGGCTTCCGAATTTTTTTCTATAGAAAAAATTTCCTTAGAGTCAAGTGAGGCTTCCGATTTAATTTCTATAGAAACTAAAATTGCCTCAGAAGTAATTCAGGCTTCCAATTTTTTTCTATAGAAAAAAACTTGTATCAGTGGCACCTGAGGTTATCCGAAATTTTTATAGAAAAAAAATTGCCTCAGGGGCAACTGAGGCTTCTGAATTGTTTCTATAGAAAAATATAGCTTAAGAGGCATCCGAGGCTTCCGATGCAAAAATAAGGATTTGCAAGAGATAACTAAAATAGCAATGACTCCAACCACTACACAAAATTCACGGAGACATTGCTTCTAGGCAACGACAGATGACAGTTCCATCTCCTCGGACAGACTACAGCCATTCATTCCGAATTGTTTTCTCAGGAAAACAATTTGGAATGAATGGGTTTAGAGGTTTTAGATTTTTTTTTCGTATAGATAAAAAATTATCTCATAGGCAAATGAGGCTTCAGATTTTTTTCTATAGAAAAAAAAAACATTGGCTCAGGGGGAACTGAGGCTTACGAATTTATTATAGAAAAAGGTGTTTCAGTGGTAACTGAGGCCTCAGAATTTTTTCTATAGAATTTTTTTTCTCAGTGGTGACTTCCAAAAAGAAAAAAAAAATACCGCTGCACAAAATTCAGGGAGGCATTGCCTCTAGACAACGATAGATGGCAGTCCCATCACCTGGGACAGGCTACAGCCATTTATTTCGATTTGTTTCTATAGAAATTATCGGGGGCAACTAAGGCTTTCGATTATATTCGTATAGATAAAAAATGGCTCATATGAAACTGAGGCTTCCGATTTTTCTTTTCCATAGAAAAAATTGCGTCAGAGGCAACTGAGGCTTTCATAGAAAACCTGGAACCTGAGGCCTCAGATTTTTTTTATAGAAAAAAAAATGCATCAGAGTCCTCCGATTTTTTCTATAGGAGGGTCAACTGATGTTTCCGAATTTTGTTATTAAAAATAAATTGTCTCAGTGGCAACTGAGGCCTCAGAATTTTTTTGCTCCTGTGGTTACTGAGGCTCGCCAATTTTTTTCGATAGCTAAGTCTTCCAATTTTTTTCTATAAAAAAATACCTTAATGGCAACTTAAGCCTCAGTTTGGCCTTGTACGCTTCCGAATTTTACCCTATAGAAAACCCCCTTCATATTTATCAAAATTGTTACTTACGCATTTTCCAAGGTGATTTTTGAGGCCGATACGGTGACAGCTTTTGATAATCCTGTTGTGCCGGAGGAACTTAGTATGACAATGGTTTGATCACCACCCAAGACTTGCTTTTCAGGTCTGTGGGGAAAAAATAACAAAAAATAATTCAAACTTATCTGCATTTAAAAATAAACATCTCCCTGTACTTACTGGTAAAAACGTTCCATTTTCGTGGGTTCCAAGAGATCCAATATCGTTGGTACACCCTGAATGTGATCACACATGGTGTAGATTGTGGGTTGAAAGGAGGCGGTTATTTTGCGAATTTTCTCATAATCACAGCCGTCACAGAAAATAATTTGGGGCTTGGTAATGCCAAAACTGTGGCTAATGGCAGCTATAGAGGGCGAGGAGGTAGGCAGATAGGGAAGATTAATAGGATTTGGAAAATTTTGTTTAGTTTTGTTCTACAAACCTTCTTGATAATTGGGATTTACGGCATGCATGGGATTGCCATTGAACAGGCAACCCAAGACCACAGATGTGAGCTTCAGGGTATTGCGAGCAGCCACACCCACAATGTCGTCATGACGCATGCGAAGTTTTTTTAAATGCAAAGCAATGCGTATGCCCCAGGTCAAGAGTTCGCCGCTGGTAGCTTGGGTGTTGTCGAAGGCATCAATCTGGAAGTTAGCAAAAAAGCAGAAAATTATATTAAAATATAATTAAAGAGGCTATATTTTATATAAAGATTATAAAAAATAAAATATAGTTTCCGAACTCAAATTTTTTCTTAAAAATAAATATTATTTTCTTTTTGTTTTAATAATATTTCCTCTCCTTACCTGCAGCACATTGTGTGGATTCAGCCGCATTTGCCCGAAAAGAATTCTGCCAATCGAATGATGCTCAATATTGTGCAGGGGAGCTACACGCGGTCCACTCCATATCTTTTGTTGTTTGTCATAAAAAGTTTTAAGTTCAGCCATTTCTATGCCGGTCTGTCTGTCTGAATGTCTATTAGTTTTTTTGATATGTAAACTGTTTGCTGAAGTTTTAGAAACTGATTGCTAGGTGACCAAAGCGGGTCCTTCTTATAAAGCAACATAATATTATTAATATCTTATCGGCACAGGGCGCTTATCAATTTTATATGAAATCTTTTTAGCCAAATTTTTTTTAGTAGAACAGGTAAATTGCGAGATCAGCCACATTCACGTGTATTTTGGTGTAAACAAAGTGGCGAGTCACTGTGGTTGTTTTCTTCTTGATTACAAATAAAAACAACATTTTGTAGGAAAATAGAGAGAGAAGGTGAGAGAGTTTGAGAGATCAATAAATAGTGGTAGTTGTCAAAAATGTGTTGTTTCAAATTGTGATTATAGCATTCATTTTTTTGTGGGGGATGGTTTGAATGGTTGGAGAATACAATCGATCGTAGACCGTACTAAACGACAAATATTAAAAATAATTTTTCGGAGATTTTATATGTATACCCTACACAACTATGTTGTCAGGGTATTATAGCTTTGTGCAGCCCCAAGAGTTTGTAACGTCGAGAAATATTGGTCTTAGACCCACCTTTAAGTTTACCGATCTTCATACCTCGACTAACTGAGTCGATATAGACATGTGTGTCCGTCCGTCCATTGTAATTTGTAAACACGATACAGGTCACAGGTATGGATCAATCTTCACGAAATTTTGCATATAGGATGGGTTCTGCCCAATGAAGACCTCTATTGTTATTGGTAAAGATCGCTTAATATTTAGGGGATGAAATGGACCAAAATGAGTGGTGACGTCAAAATTGATACCAATTATGTCGTCGTATGTACTCGGATGTGGAAGTTACATTTAAATGTTTACAGGTGCTTACGTACTCAGCTATTATTTAGTAACACATTACCACACTAGAGGCGGAAATATAGCGCGGATCGATTTGAAATTTTCCATGAGGATCCAGGTATGGTCAAGGATAACGCCTATAATTGATGATCAGATAATAATATTGGGATGAGGTGGACCGAAAACTTAATTTTTGCACTTTTTCTAGTCGATATATAGGCCACAATTGAAAGCCGAACATCATAACACAACCCACGGTAACGACAATCTGTACAGGTAATTAGAAGTGTTGTACTGAATATTAGTAATATTTGTTGACCTCTAGTCGGTCGAGAGGGTGCAAATATAGCGAAATATTTTCCATGCTCAGAATATAAAACCACAGAAAGTTAGATTTTCGTGGAAGTTGTGTAGTATGGTCGGCCCGTCCGACTATACTGCTTCGCTCACTGGTTTAAAAATATGGTGTCTGCTAATTTGAAAGACGAAGTTTTTTTTAAAAATATGTTGTCAGCTAATTTATAACTCGGAGTTTTTTAAAGATATTTTTCAACTACTATGTAAGGCGTGGATTTTTTAATATTTTGTCGCTACTATATTAGATAGTTTTTTTTTAAGAGCGCGGATTTTTTGGAAATATTTTTTAACCTTTTTTTGGATTTTCAAAAACTTCCAAAATTTGATTTTTGGAAACAATATGTTTTTATAAAAATTCCACGCCTTTTAAAAACTCTTCTCCCTCGCACTATAGGTGTGTTTTTTTTTTAAAGCGCGGATTTTTTGAAGTATTTTTTAACCTTTTTTTTGGATTTTCAAAAACTTCCAAACTTGATTTTTTCGAAAAAATATTTTTTTTATAAAATTCCACGCCTTTAAAAACTCCTCTCTTCCCCGCACTGTAGAACGCAACAAGTTCGTTGCAAACAACTCTTCTACACCCCTACAGTTGTTTTCACTTTCATTTTTCGTTTCAGTCTTATCTACGCTTTCTATCCTAGCAATACCCCTCGTGTTATGATCGTGGTGAGTGTTTTTCGATCACGCATTTACCACGAGATGCGTTCGTTTTCATATATTTCTTTTCCATTGGTCATGGTTAAGAACAAAACACGTTATTTGTTTTTTTTTAATGTCTTGCCAATTCTTGGCATAAACATTTCACCAAGTCACTTATCTCTAAAGAAAAAATAAAAACAACTCCCCCGATTTTCAGGTAGGTGATGATAATCAGCAAAAACGAGACTTCAATAAATTGCTAATTATAGTCGTGTTCCTATGGAAAATCTATTAAAAATATTCCTAAATGACTGTTCAAAAATTATTATTGGTTGTTTTGAAAAAAAATGTTTAATTTTGAAAAATAAATAAACAAATTGAAGATTAGGTGTTTAGATTAGAAAAAAGAGGGTGGAGAAACTGTACCTCCAAATGTTTATTAATACCAAGACAATGAGGGTCAAAAAGGAGTGAGTTAGAAGAATCTCGACTAGCTGAGTCGATCTAGACATTTTGTCCGTTCGTCTGTCTGTCCATTATAATTTGTAAAGACGGCCACAGTTATGGACCAATCTTCACGAAATTTTGCATGTAGGATGGGTACTAGCCAATGAATACCCCTATTGTTTTTGGTAAAGATCGGTTAATATTTAGGGGATGAAAAAGACCAAATACTTAATTTTTGTCAGTTTTTCTTGTCGCTCCGAAGGCCGCAATTATGGCCCAAACATCGTGAATTTTTACATGGATAAGGGGATCGGGCCAAAGAATAAGCATGCGGGATTTGATAAAGATAGGCCAAATTAGTGGGTCAAATGGACCCTGACTTTTATGTGATTAATTACAAAAGACATGAAGCCGACGCCGCAATTATGGCTCAACCATCGTGAATTTTTACATGAATAAGGGGATCGGGCCAAAGAATAAGCATGCCTGTTTTGATAAAGATCAGTCAATATTTAGCGGGTCAAATTGACCCTGATTTTTGTGTGAAAAATGACAAAATTTGTATTCGGTAGCGTATAGATTTACCCCTGAATGACATGAAGCCGAGAAGTTGACAGTATATCCAAGAAGAGAGGATGACCTTTAAGTTGATACCAATTATATTGTCGTATGTACTCGGATGTGAGAGTTACACTTAAATGTTTGGAGGCGCTTAAGTACTCAGTTATTATTTAGTAACCCATTATCACACCAGAGGGCGGAAATACTCAGATATTATTTAGTAACTTATTTAGTGCTGATCGCTTTGAAATTTTCCATGACAAGGACCATAATTTTCGGTGATTCACATTAAAATTTGGGATGGAATGGAACGAAACTTAATTTTTTTATATATACATATTCATTTTGTTTTTCCGTTTGTAACTCATCGAAATAACCATTTCCGACCCTATAAAGTATATATATTCTTCTATGACGATATAGCCATGTCCGTCTGTCTGCTGTAATCACTCTAACGTCTAAACGAATTGAAATAGATCGCCAAAATTTTGCATAAAGACGTATTTTGTCTGCAGGCAGGTCAAGTTCTAAGATGGGCTTTATCGGTCCACGTTTAGGCATTTTTCGGTATTTTGGGGTTCTTGAGCGCGTTTTTCAACCGAATCGCAAAAATTCGCTACATTGGGTTCTTATTGGATACTAAATGTCTCCACAAAAAATTATAAGTATAGGTCCACTTTTTCTGGTAGCCCCCATAAAACGGTACCTCCCAATTTTTAGTATTTTGATCGTATTTTCCGCCGAATTAGTTGTAATTTAGTATTTTGAGATCTTAATAGGTGACAAATTTTTTTACAAAAAAATTATGAATATAGGTCAATTTTTTTCGGATAGCCCCCATATAAGGGTATTTTTGGGTTATTGAGCGCGTTTTTCAACCGAATTTGCTGCAATTTGGTATTTGGTAGTCGTATATATGGTAACAAATCTCCCTACCAAAATTATTAATATTCGCCTCCTTTTTGGGGTAGTCCCCATATAACCCCCTTTTTTATATTTAAATAGTTATCCCTTTTTATATTAAATTAAGATAAAATATGATAACTATATTCGTTCCGCGTTTTGAGACTCTGTTGTAATCATTTCACCTGCGGAGGATAGCGAGATCAAAAATTAGAACGTAAGGTTCGATAATGAACTATAGCCACATTTAGACCTAGACCCTGTGTGGAGGTTCCAGAAGGAGTCGACCGATATTCCTCATCGTTGTAATCATTTCACCTCCGGAGGATAGCGAGATCAAAAATTAGAACGTAAGGTTCGATAATGAACTATAGCCACATTTAGACCTTGACCCTGTGTGGAGGTTCCAGAAGAAGGAAATTTAAGTTTAAGGTGGGCAAAGTTTGGATGATTTGGTCCAAAGAAACATGGGGTCTAGCCAACCAATATTTCGATAAGGCACATTTTCACCGTGTTAAAGTGTATACACCCTCATTAGCTATAAGGCTAAGGGTATTATTATCCAAAATTTCTGAAATTTGTATTATGGTTTACATAATCCGTTTTTACAAATGTCGGTATAGGTCCACTTTTTGGTATGTTCCCTATATTTTCATTTCTAGTACTTGTCAGGTGTATCTATGGTGGAGTGTATCCAAAGTTTGGCCCGGCCGAACCTACCGTTTTTTCACTTGTTTTGTTTTTTTTTCGAATCGACCTATGGACCACAATTATAAGCCGAATATCACAACACAACCCATGGTAATGGGCTGTACTGAATATTAGTAACATTGGCAAAATATGTCAGTATAGCCTGTTGGCCTCTAATGTCAGTATAGCCTGTTGGCCTCTAATCATGTGAAGTATTGACCAGGCTCGGAATAAACATACGCAGAAAGTTATATTTCAATTGTAGCTGTGTAGGGTATCGTATGGTCGGCCCCGTCCGACTATACTGCTCCAATCACTGGGTTAAAAATAGTTTTTTGACTGCCATATTAAGCTTGGATTTAAAAAAAAAATTCGACATTTATATAAGGCCTGTATTAAAAAAAATATATTTCTTAGCATGGATTTTTTAAAATATAATTTTCATTACAGGATGTAAGAAATTGCAATACAATTTATTGTTTCATTTTGTTGTAATTTTGTGTAACAATAATTTAAAATAAATACTTGTTTTCCACGTACAATT